GGTATCTACCTGTCAAATAGGGTGAGTATGTGATTCTTGCGGTGTTGTGGTGGAGACTTTTTTGTTTGATCATAGTGGTTTGGATCTATGGGCGGTTGGGTGTGTTTGATGTTGATGTTGTTGTTGATGTTGTTGCTATTGTTATTACTATTAATGATTATTTTGACAAGTGTCGAGTTTCCTAATTGATGAGAGGTGTTTTCGTTATTTGTCTGTTTCTATGTACTCTTCTTATCAATTTTTATTACCTTGTAACTTGTAACTTGTAACTTGGGAATGATGGGAATGATGGGAATGATGGGGCTGGGTAGGGGAGATGGGACTGGGTAGGGGAGATATTGAGAGTGGTTTGGGGGGGTGTTGAGAGTGGTTCGGGTAGTCCGAGTTGTAGGAAAAGGACGGGACGGGATGGGATGGGATAGGATGAGATGGGTCAAGCGAGTATACTCGATTTCCATCATCATCATCATTATCATCTACTCCTCTTTTCATTCTGATAAGTGGTAAAGAAAGGTTCATGGTATCGGTATGCGAATGAGATTTGGAGGGATTTGTAGGGGTGAGGGGGGGGGAGATCTTTTGTTGGGGTTGGGGTTTTGAGGGAAGTTCTTGTTATGTGTTTAATATTGTCGAGATTCGAGAATGGGTTATTCGAAGTTCTTTTTTAAGTTCTTTTTTTTTTTGTTGAACGGGTAGGTCGAATGGGTAGATTATTTATTGCTTTGGGGATTCTTAGGGTTTTGTTGTATGGATTTTTGGGAGTGGTGGGATTGGGGATTGGGGATTGGGGATTGGGGATTGGGGAGTTGGGGAGTTAGCTATATGTTTGGATGGAGTAGATATCTGTGAGGAGGGCTGTGGATGTAGATGAGGTGGATGGTTTTAGTTTTTTTGGGGGGGGGGGATTATTTATATATCTGGGGCTGGGGTTGGGGGTGGGGGTGGATGGGGTGTAGAAAGAAAGCTTTTCAGGATACTGGTTTGGGATAGAGATAATGGAGTATATATCAAGAGTGAATATAAGATGTGTATTCACTTAGGTGTTAATAGTAGATGTGAGAATGGAAAGGTGTGTGTGGGTGGGGTGATATAAAACTATCATTCTTGTATTGGAAAAGGGGTATCAGGGGTATTATCTATATAGGATGTGTTGATGATGGTTACGTTTCTGGATCTTGTGCTCTGATGTTTTGATATTTTACTTGGGTGGTTTGTGGTGTTGGATTTTCTTGGGATAGTCCGGAATAGTTTGGGATGGAGACGTAATGGATGTTTGGATCTTAGGTGTGGGTTGTAGGATTATTGGTATTGTTGTTGTGTGTTGATAGTTATCGCTTTTGCGAGCATTCTGGTTGTTTGATTAGGTGATTATACTAATGCTGAACTATTTATTTCTCTTTGCTATAGGTAAGTTCATGAACTTGAGTTTTGAGTTCAAGTGGGACTGTGGGTTATAGATATTCCTACGATGGGGTAGCTGATTATTGTATCCATATCGCAAAGGAATTGATAGTTTGTATATACATTTCTCGAATCTTGAGTTTTCTGCAAAGAGCAGAGGATATTGTACCGATACGAGGCGATGTAGTCTGAATTGAGTATGTAGAATAGTGTTGGAACTTGGAGATAGCTTGCTAATTTGAGATTAATTGGTCTTATGGTATTACTGATAGTAGCCGGGTGATACCTACCTAGATCTGGATATAAACGCCTCATTCTGATTTCAAGATAGATGCAAAGGGTATCTCACAGAATACACAAGCTTTCGCATGTAAGTGCCATGTTGCAATTAGCCGTGAGGATGTGCGGAAGTTGGGAGCGGAGGGAGAGTTGATTTTATCGAAGTTTGTAGAGAATCGATACGTATGCAAGTAGAGATAGGATGGCTTTCATTGTCATTAATTTATACGCATAATAAATGTACTTCTTATTGTCGATGATTTCGTGATTCATTGCTAGAGTCCATTGCACCTCTTTCTCATACTATGTATCCTCGCACGAGTTCACAACTCAGTGTTTGTATCCCAAAGTTCGGGATTCGGGAGTCTATGTATATCATACCAAATACCATGTACTGGTCCAATTCATCAGATATGACAATGAGATTATGGTTGGAGCTTTAGGATTGAAAAGGGAGAATATGTATCTATACAATGACAGCGATTTCAGAAATTGGATATCAGAAGACGGGAACATGTCTCCGAGTTTCGGAGTATGGTATTCACTCCGGTATTGATTTTAGATGATAAATTGAGATTTGAGGATTTAACATGATAGGGTGTGTTGAGAAGATGGAGACTGAAGCGCTGGTATAAAATCTGGGTTTGGATGGATGGGAGTGAAACAGTTGTAGTAGGAAAATTACTTGGCGTACTTTTAGGGGTGGAATCACAGTTCTGCTTTTAGGTAATCTTGCAGATGAAAGGAATGGAAGAGTCTTTATTCTCTGGAAACTTGATATTATCTATAGAATTTCTTATATCTCCTTGGGTTTGGAAAATCTCGCTGTCTTAACTTCAGCTCTATCAACCAAGTTGTCATCGAATATGTTTACTTCTCATGTCTTTTTTGCTGTCAGCCATGTTCATTCTATTATCGTTAATTCATGTACTAATTGCAAATTCTTAGACTCGATATCTGATAGCTATAGTACAAGAAGTATGTAGTTCGTCTTAGTTTGTGACCAAAAAAAACTTAAGTAATGATTTGAGTCCTGGAAAACGTTGTTGTACAGGTTCACTTGCCAGTGGTGAAGTATTTTCGAGAGGTTTCAGAAGGGAGTCTTTGTAGAAGACTTATCATTATTTAGAGATGAGAAATATATAGGTTTATCTGTATAGTAAATCGTTTGCGTAATCTGCTCGCTTGTAATTTTTGCTCCTCTCTCTCTATGTACTGGATTATAAAAGACTAAAAGAGAACATCATTAAAATATTGATCAAAATGCCCTAATTCAAGGGAATGAGGAACGCATTCCATACTGCCATACTTGATTGCTTAGGCCTGAGAAGAGTTATTCATGCACGAGGTACTGGAGTACTTCTTTGAGAGTCAAACTCCGGGAGAAACTTACTGTTGTTGGATTTAAGTAGTTTTGGATTTATCATCGATTATAAAAAGTTATTATTGATATTCTTATACATGATTGATTATTATTATCGGATGATAGAGTCTCCTTATATATTTCTGCTAATGACAACAATACTGTCATCTATTACTAATTATAAATCCAATTTAGAATACTAGTTGAGATGTCAATACTTGAAATGAGGTTAATTCAGGTTACTACTACAGATTTTATGAGTTCTCATCTAAATACAATTAAAATAAGTTGAATCATACTGTCCGCGGGATTATTAGTAAGATTTAAAATCCAGTCCAAACCGATTAATAATAATGAACCAAAAAAAACATAGTGAATCCCACTTGATCCGCTCATCAATTCCACTGAATTGGAATAAATCGATTATATTCGTCAAATAAACTCGGGTTTGAATATTCCCATCCGGATCGTCCCAATAAATTACCCAAACAGACAGTCGTTGCATAATTCCACGAGTATGGAGGAGTGGAACTAGCCGAAAGCCTTCTGACGCAATCCAATGTGCCTCGACAAAAGGACTCGATCAAAATCTCGGTTCTTCCGTGTTCGGGCATGAGAAGCCTTCCCTGCATGCAACTATAATAACACGTTCTTTCAAAGATTGTGATTATTTAACCCTCATAATTCGTTTTTACCCCTCATTCTAGGCTAATATGATAGCCAACGAATTCCGAACAACCAACTTACCGTAAATGTAGTACAAGAGTCTCAACCTCACTCTTCTATGTTGCAATATCTCTTGTTATTGTTGTCGGTGGACAGCTGAATCATCTTTCTGTGATCCATATTTCATTTCTACTATAATGTAAACATCAATGTTTATTTATATCGATACTTCTAATAATTTTTATAATTTCAACTTTGCGACCAAACAACTGAATTCATGACATTTCCCTCTGATATATCCTGACCATGTATATGTCTGCATCTAGATACGATTTCAGACTTCGAGGTAGGACCAAAAAACATCCTCCGACCCCCGCCTCCCCAACTTCCAATCCACTATCAGACATTATCCTCCGCTTCGTGCACACATTCTCGGTTATTCTCAACTTAACGTCGCATACGAAGATGATGTGGTGTCACACCTCTGTGATCGTGGCAAAGACTCAAATATAGGCTGTTTTCTTCATCGCTTTGGGTCGTATTTACATGAATCATGTAGCAGAGCGGCAGAGAGTAGACTGCTAATAGCAGATATGGCTTGTATCGCTCAGCTGAATGCGATGTAGATCGTGGAGATAAACCAACCATCAAAAGGCACATAGATATAATGTAATCATTCTTGCCGCTTATCTACGGTTGTGTTCCTGCCCAAGAATTGTATTCATGAATCAATATGGATTGAAGATGATCACTTCCTAGATTGCTATCTAATCTGATTGAGACATTTGGCGGCCAGCCGTCAGAGATATGCCGACCTTCCTTTATTGTATAATATCGCATGTTACGAAGACGAAAATGATGTAGGCTGCAGAATGCAATATCAATTGTGAAGATAGACCAACCATCAAATGCCATATAGATACAGTATAACCATTCTTGTTATGTTCCTGCCCAAAAATTGTATTCATCCTGCTTCAAATATTTGGCGCTCAGCTGTGGGTGATATGCCGACCTTTATTGTATGATATTGCATATTAGGGCGATGAAATTGATGAATGACACATAAATTTTGTAGGCTGCAAGATCCCCTCTTTCTCTCTTCCGAAACTACATATTTGTATGTTTCCAACCTTGATGAGAACCTAACGAACACTTTCTTCAACCGCCTTTTCATCAATCTCAAACCTCATTGCCTCACTTTTACACTTACGCTGTGGTATACAAGCTGAGATTTCCACTCTTCAAAATGGTACACAAGCATAGTCCGTTTACAAAACAACCATACTAACAAATGAATTACGTAGACCAGCGCCACTGTATGCCCCATATACTCAGAGTATCCTGCTCGAAGACACCATCTGACGCGAACTAGAAAATTGATATTCCAGCCGAGAATGTTCTCACCCGCATTGTCAACCTAGGAAGCCGCAAATGTATCACCCTCTATCCCTCGGGAGATCGACGATTTTGGCACACCACCTTTGACCCAGCCTCGACTGACAATGCTCAGTGGTGGAAGCTCGTCCGGTACGACAATGCCGGAAAGTACATGATCATCAGCGCCAACACCGGAGAAGCCATCGTCAGTAGCGACCACGGAGAATGGATCAGCCAGCCCCGGGACAGCAACCTCCAGATCCAGATCTTTCGCTTCGACCAAGGCACCGATACACGCTCGCGACATTTCAAAATCGTATGTCCTAATTCAAACATGCGCACCGTCTCCAACTCGGATCTATACAATGAACCCAACAACGGTTCTCTGAAGGACGAACAGTACTGGCAGTTCATCACCGAAGAAATGGAAATTACCGCTGTTAACTATATCCTACCAGCAGGTAATCCCTTTGGTCGTTCGCCACTCGTGATAGATCGCCAGATCGCCACCAACAACCTTTCGACCACACAAACCATGTCGGTGACCATCAGCGGGTCCACGGAAAATCAGTCTAGCTTTGATGCCTCAGCCGGCTTCTCCACAACCGTCAGTACCGACTTCAAATGTGGCGTCCCTGGTATTGCCGAGGGCAAAGTCAGCGTATCAGCCACCGCGTCGACGGAACTGAAATGGGGAAAAGTCAACAAAACGACATTGCAGTGGTCCAAGTCTGTTCCGCTCGAGGTCCCACCCGGAAAAACTTATAGAGTTATTGGCTCAGTGGATCAGACTGTGATGGATATTCCATTTACTGCGACGTTGACATCAAAGATCACGGGCAAGACTACTACCATGACGGGGATTTACAAGGGAGTAACGAATTTCAACTTCACGACTACTTATGACGATGTAACTGGTAGACCAATTTAGGTCGGCGGACCTCGTGGTATATCAGATTGTACTTCGGTGCTTACCATGGTTTTCCCATTTTGTTCTCACTTTTACTGATACCGAGAAGGATCGTGATGAAGAGATACGACATAGGCCCTGGTTTGAATAATGTGTCTTGCAGTACATTTTTATCGGAGGGAGATATCGCATTCGTTTCCTTTTCACCTTCCTTCTTGCGTTTCATCTCCTTAGTACCCTTGTCGATTCTATACTTCGTCAAACTCTGTTTTTGCTCTTCTTCAAACTAGTGGTCATGTATATAACAACATGTAACGCAATGGCACTACCGCATGACCGAATTCAGCTGGAACGTTTGACAAATGAATATTATATTGTGCAGAATGTGATTCTATGACTAGATTTTCAATGTTTCAAGGAGAAGGCAAGCAGCTAAACATTAAGATAGCAGTTAGCAATAGTTTGGTGGTATATGCCACGTTCCCAGTCATCTTCAACATCTTAGCTTGCTGAAAGTAGTTCGAGATAGTATATTCGTAGAACCGATAGCCAACTTGAGGTCATGGTGAGCAGACAAGTATATTATGAACAATACCCTTGTTATTGCGTTTGTAATAGAGGGTTTCATGATTTCTTTTTCAAAGATTTCTAATATGATTGTATCCTCTGATAATCATATAAGCGTTGAGTCATTAGAAACCTATCTTAAGCTACTTTTCGTTCGCAAAATAAGAGTAGAATACTTGTTAACGCCTGTTTGAATACATCTGATTCTCTCTCTTTTTTTGAAGCTTGATGAAGTTTTATATATCATATTTTGTTCTTGATTTAAGCTATTCCATAAAACGGATGAAAATTCTTCCTGTCACTTGAAGTTCGTTATCGAAATATGAATAGAAAGCGAGAGAGTGTATTATCGACCAGGGCAATATGGAATACCTTGCTTATATGAAGAAAAGCCATAGACCAGAAGAACTTGGACGCTTATCCAAAAGCAGACACCGCGGCGGTCTTCTTGTATACCTCAGTGTGGATGTAAAGTGTCTGAACTGCAGTCCTTCAAAACCATGGATATAATTGGGATCAAGCCCATGAAATAATTTTGACAATGCTATAAACTGCTACTAACAATTTAAAGATGCTATTCTGCAAAAATCCCATTCTGTATCTCCGCACATCTCTTATTATATCTGAGAATGAAACAAAAATTTATAACATGTTCATCATCCTTCCAAACTATCAAAATGGCAAAAATGTTGCGTTCGCCGGGAATCGAACCCGGGGCCCATCGAAGTTGTTGCAAGCCTTTCTAAGGAAGGAATGATGGCAACGATGGATTTTACCACTAAACCACAAACGCTTATTGGGTTTTTTGCTGAGTATAAAGCTCGCGTTTAAATTCATATTGAGAAGTCAGATGGAATTCAAAGAATCATTCTGCATGGTAAAAGATAATGGGGAGAAGAGAGAAGAAATTTTCAAAAAAGTGGAGATGGTGGGGAAACACCCGAGATGGCTTGGCTATTCGTAGGAGAAAAAACAGGCGGAATTTGACAATTCAAATTTTCATTGAAATCCTCTAATTTAATTGAATAAAAAATGATTTATAAATGATTTATATAAATTCAAAGAAATCAAAAGAAATATCAGCTTTTTATTATTCAGAAAACATTTCGAAATTTTATTTTATATAATATTGAAGGGAAATAATTGAATTGTAAAGGATATCTTAGAAATGGTCGAATTCCGCCTGTTTTTTCTCCTACGAATAGCTTGGATGGGTGTTCAAGTTGACATTTCTACCCGAACCTTCCCCATCTATATGCATATGATATAACCAAATGTGACTAAATGAGAGACCCACGCAAAAAGCTCCCCGGAAGCTACGTCAATCAACGCGAATAAACTAACAGACTAACAAACTCAAAAATGTGACACTTAACTCCAACTCCATTCTCACTGTTCCTTTCCCCCCTCCCACCTTCCGTCGCATCCCAAAAAGCCAAACAAGCAACCAACCCACCAATCACCATTTCACAAATCTACTGACCCAAAAAGCACTCATCAACTTTTCAGCTTCCATATCTATCATCCGACGACGATTCGTGCTTCTTGGAACTACTTGCTTTCGCCGGCTGCTTACCCTTAGGTTTTCTATCACGGCTAGGGTCTCTTCTTTTAGAACTAGGAGCGCCAGTTCTACCGTGTTGTAACAAGGACCTTGGTGGTGAATCATCCGAGCTCGATGCTGGTCTTGTCTTAGGGAGCTTGCCGGCTGGTGCTTTAGCTTTGGATGATGTTGGTAATGCCTTATTCACGTCAGACATAGCAAACATGTTATCCGAACCACTAGTATGTGGACGACTTCCATCGCTACTGGTCGGATCACGCTTAGCCTCTTCACTTGAATAGCCGGGAGGGGCATTAGGATTGTGTTTACCACCCCAAGTTGAAGGAGGTCTGGTATCTCTTGGTAATCGCTTGGACAAGTTAGGAGTCTGACCAGTTGGCCCAGGAGCCGAGAGAGGGTTAGAGGAGTAAGGCGGGGCATTGGCATGGTGAGGTCCCGCAGCTGGTCCGGCAATTTGTAGATCTCTAAAGTCCCTTCCATGATTTCCGTAGCTCGGTGGCAGGTCTAATGAATTTTGGGAGCCGACAGCCTGGCGTTCGCGAACTGGGCCACTTTCATGATAGAGTCTTGTTGCTTCTATATCTTCTTGATCTTGTCGCTCAATCTGTCTTGAATTAAGTTCTCGTCCACCACTCGGGCTCTGCCTTCTCCCTGAGCCTCCTCCTGTAGATGTTCTAGCTTCTACAGCTCGAACCCGTTGATCTCTTTCTCTTTGGCGCTGGTCTGCTTCTCTCTGTTGCTCAATTCCAGCTGTAAGAGCAGATGTCGTCGGGACTGGTTTCACCACCCGGCGGGCGTTTTCGACTTGATCTCGATCAAGCCGCCCATGAACATCTAGACGATAATAGTCTTGCGCTTTGCAATATTTATATTTTGTGACTTTCTTCCCATGCTTGTCGAGTTTCCCATCTATAGAACGTACAAGTTTATCCTTGCTGTTCACTCTATATGTAGTGATCTTGTCACCATCTGCGTCGTACTCGCCTTTACCCTCTAGGTCTCTCTTCAAATCCCCAGTTGTTCTATCCTTGTTGTAGGTATCATGAGAAGGCATTTTGTTATGGATTTCTTCTCTGCACTTGTTTTGATGATAGGATTGTACTGGAACTTTGTTCTTATAAGATCTGTTGATGAATTTACTGATGATGTATGTATTGTATATTTCATTAGTACTTTGAGAGCTTTATATACCTACTGAGATGTTGGCAAACCTATAACTAGTGATATCTTTGAACTTCTTGAATATTGCACTTGTTCGCCATTGGACTGCAATACGCCGATATTGCGGTCGTTGCTATGTTTGTGAGAGGAATTATCTGTTTGCCTAGGGCCATGAAGCTGGTCGGTCATTTCTCATATGGCCAAACTCTGGTCGACATGAATCAAAGATCAATGCTCGCAATGGGTGGGCCGGGTGATACGGTTAGATTTAGACTACACAACGGATACCTAGAGAGCAGATTATTGAAGACTCCAAAAGAATTATCTGTAGGTAGCTCTAAAACCTATTATTGATTCGAGCGTAGATATAAAGAGTATATTATTAATTTGAACTTAAATATATATTAGATCTATATTAGATCTATATTAGATCTATATTAGATCTATATTAGATCTATATTAGATCTATATTAGATCTATATTAGATATAGAATCGGTATAATAGATAGAATCTTTATCAAATTACCTACATAATAGAAGATCTATCTGAAGATTATCACTAGGCGTACATTATCTCTGTGCAGCCTAGTTGGATTGATTTAAGTATGGATTGGGTTAGGCCGGATAATACGGCTGAATGCCTATAGAGCAGATTATCTATAGGTATTTCTAAGGCCTACTATTGATTTAAGCTTAGATGTATACCAGATAGATTCTATTATTAATCTAAACCTAAAATTGTATTAGATCAATACGAAATATAGAATAGGTAGGTAGAATCTTTAACAGATTACTTCCAAATTCGACTAGCTACTGATTACTAATAGGCGCAGAATATTATTGTACTGCCTAGTTGGATTCAGCAAACCATGAATTAGACTGGACTGCAGTATGAAACAGGGACCCGTGATTAATTGATTTAGGCTGGCTTTTAGCCTGAGAGTTTCGTAGGTTGGATATGTATTGAATGGTTCTATAAATTCTGAATTCTAGTTTCAATTTCCAGCTTCCAATTTAGGGGTTTAAATCGAATTCGGATTTCATTTTATCAAATGATTAACCACGATTTCCTAATTATAGATATCTATTAATGAGTAATTTGATTCAAACTTGAGTTATATAGATTAGGTCATAAGTGATCGGATAGTGTGTCTTTTTCGAACTGACGGTTTGAATTAGATTTAGCAAAAGTACGATACCCAGGTACTCATTGCGAGTACTACTAAAGACTCCACCTAGTGAAGGGAGAATGACATATGCCATCTGGAGCTGGGATACATCTAGTTCCTAGAGGCCCATATTATATAAGGCCATGATTGTATCTAAAGATATAACTACTACGAGCTTTTTCTCGGCCCTTCGTGGCTAAAAATAACAACGGCCTCGTTAGCGCTCTCTGTAGTTATTTTTAACGCCACTCAGGACCTACGCATACGCTCGTGCTGCGTAGCTTTAGAATCCTAAGAATATATATTTCATTAAAATGTGAATTTTGAAGCTTTTGAAGCTATTTAGAGATTATAAGCTTTTGGAAGTGGTGGTTAGGGTACTTTTAATAATAATAATAATAATAATAATAATAATAATAATAATAATAATAATAATAATAATAATAAATGGATTTCGCTAGCCTCTCGCTTCTAGCTCGCATAAGGGCGCCGAAGGCGTCTTTAAGCCTAAATCCAATAAATCTAATAAATCTAATAAGTCTAATAAATCTAATAAATCTAATAAATCTAATAAATCTAATAAATCTAATAAATCTAATAAATCTAATAAATCTAATTCTGTTTTTATAAATCTAATCCCCTCCTCTTTCTAATTCCCTTCCTCTTTCTAATCCCCTCCTCTTTCTACCCTCCTTTTTCTATTCTCCTCTTTCTAATCCCTCTCCTCCCTTTTCTAATCCTCCTCCCCTTTCTAATCCTCCTCCTCTTTCTAATCCCCCTCCCCCCTCTCTCCCCCCTTTCTAATCCCCTCCTCTTTCTAATCCCCTCCTTTCTCTTCATCCCCTTTCTAATTCCCTCCTCTTTCTAATCCCCTTTCCTTTTTCCCTTCTCTTTTTAATCCCCTCTTCCTCTTTATCCCCTTTTTAATTCCCTTTTCTTTCTAATCCCCTTTCCTTTTTCCCTCCTCTTTTTAATTCTTCCCTTCTTTCCCTTTCCTTTCTAATCCCCTTCTCTTTCTAATCTCTTTTCTTCTTCTCTTCCCTTTTTTCTTTCTAATTCCTTTTCCTTTCTAATTCCTTTTCCTTTCTAATTCCTTTTCCTTTCTAATTCCTTTTCCTTTCTAATTCCTTTTCCTTTCTAATTCCTTTTCCTTTCTAATTCCTTATCTCTCTTATTACAAATCCCAAACCTCCAAACCAATCAAAAACATTTATTCAATTCTTCAAAATCTTCAATATCTTCAAATCTTCAATCTCTTCAATCTACTTTCTAATGAATTACTTCTTTTATTAATTACAACTTATCAATACAAAAATTATATCATTAAAAAGCTCTCAATTCATAAAATTGTAGAATCCCTTTCAATTTTATTTTATAAATTTTCTACTCTTGATTTGTTGATTAATTTGATATAAAGCATTTTGATATTTATATATAGAACATTCATACTTTTTCTTAATCAATCAGCTTCCAGTTATAAATCGTGTTTTAAATCCTATATGTTAGGAATATGATTGAAAAAGTGATTGCTGAAGATAATCAAATTTCTTATACAAATCGATTCTAATATATCGCAGACCAATTTAGAAATACCTTGTCTATATACCTGATTTGCAATTAATCAAATAATAAGTATATATGTTCGTAGTGGTCTAAAACTTAGAACCTTTTTTGTTAAGGGTAGGTAACTGATATGAAAAATCCACTAACAAGTATTAAGAAAAATCATACAATAACAAAGAAATGATAGAGAAAGATTCAAAAATTCTAAAGCTGAATGAAATACATAGATTAGAACATTCATAGGAATGTTAGTCCCAGAGGATGACCTATCTTTAGCGCCCCCGATTTTGTGGTTACCCTAGTTGCAGTTGGTGATGATGAATCTGCAGAGACTACTGCAGATGAAGAAATGCCACTGTCTGTACCAGTAATCGAAGCAGAATTTATGGTACTAGTTCCACTATACGAAATCGAGGTTGCGGATGTAGTCATCGCCATCGCCGAACTCAAAGTTGTACTCTCAACAGCGTTTCCACACTGCTGTAATTTTTTCCTTCCATCCGCAAATTCAGCTGCCTACCAAGTTCCGTAGTAAGGCAATATGTACCATTCCTACAAATTAGCTAGCAAACTTGAGTCGGTATAAAAACTATACTCACACCCACTTGGAACCATATCTCGCAAGTCTATATTGAAATACTTAGGCAACAATCTCTACCGACACGAGATCTCCAGAAGGAGTTCCTCTTACATACTCATGCGCAGCATCACCATCCGCAGTGCATGCCTCTTGAATATCTGAATACCCTTAAGAAACACATCTACAGAATCAAAGCAAGTGGTTGTGCAAGTGTTCTCAAAACTGTAGAGGTAGGTTTGAAAGGAGGTTGCTCCGAAGCAACAAATCCTAATAGCCCATATGCATCATCGCAATCGATATCAGCACTATAGACAGCTACCTAGGTATACAAGCTTGCGAAGTGGCGTGTGCGAGATCTTTAGCAACGTAATCTCAATCTTGACCAGGAGTATGGAGATTGAATGATGTGTTGACAATTTCGAAATGTTGGAAGGAAGATAGAATTAGAGAGTGGAGTGTATTTCATTGTGATGTTGTTGTTGGTTATTGTGGGGTACGAAAGCTTATATTAAGGTTATTAATTACCTATATATATACAGACTTATCAGTAAATATAACGAAAAAGACTAACAAATGTATAAAAAACGAAAAAAGTCGCTAGTTTATAGAACAACAATCAACAGAAATAGAAAAGCAGAACCAAACCATTAATTAAGCTTTAAAGACCTCGAAGAAACCAAAATAATAGAAGATGCCTACCTAGTACCTACCTACCTATATTCAACAGTCTTAGCATACCGTACCGTACAAAAATGGTCCGGGCATGATGACTGCACTGCCTGTTAATTAGTAATCTTACCAAAGTACACAAGCGCTTTGAAACCCCTGGAGTTATTAAATTAGAATTACATCAAATATATTACAAGATGAAGTTACTCATCTTCCCAGCGCAGCGAGCAAAAATGGCGTTTGGGGGCTTGCCCTCATAACAAGAGATTTAAAATGTGTGTCGCTCCGCTGGCTCTCCGAGGGCCACTGCCGTGGAGGCAGACTAAATGAGATTTGGCTATTATAACATGCCGAGAAACATAACCGATTCATCTATAAAGATAAGATGAGAGTATTTTGTTACAAAGAGGGATCAAATCAATTGAAACATGATTATTCTCGAATAATTGAATATCCTAGCATCGAAAATGGTGATACCCACCTTCTACCACTTGTGTCCATACTAATAGCTCAGAATGCAAGATAAAACACCTCCAAAAAGTCATCACCACACAATCACCACTCCTCCACACCCTCGCTCTTCTCAAACAATAGAACATTTCCATCCATATCTCAACGACATCTCCAACATATCCCATATCTTAAGACCCTACGCAAATCGACCCCTCCCTCTCTACACCGAACAAACCCCCGCAGAACCCCTCCAGAATTCATCTCCCCTATCTGGAGTATATCTAGCATACCCAAAAACATCCCTCAAAACTCCCACTCTCATCGAGATACTGAATGAAAGCTTCAATTCCAGCAACATCCTGACCCTCGCCCGATACGCCTTTGAAAAATTAAAGCTCATCTTCAAAAGACACCACAGTCAAATAAGCGAGCGAACAAGTGACTCATCAAGAAAGTCGACCACTCTCCAGAAATACGGATAGATTCTGCATCCTCGTCTTCTCTCTCATAACAAAGTAAGATGAAATCCTGACACCAGGTCTTCCAACCCAATATCCATATGCTCAAGAACATGCTACTATCCAATACGGATGTTAATGACGACGATTTAACAATCGACATAGCCATTATAATGACATCCTTGTATATACCTCTGGAATCGCCCACCTCTGTATTCTCTTCTCTATCATCCCCAAAATTATTGTACCACCAATCCAGCGCACCACAACCACTGCCATCAATTGACGAGTTCACTTTACCGGCACCCCATTCAAATAGCTTTGACCTTGTTACCCATAGCTTTCCTTCTCAATCTCAATCTCCAGCGCCTCCGTTCCCGCCTTCGCTGTGCTACAAACATTTTTCTATCCTCTTTCGAAACCCGCCAGATCCAAGCCCCAACCAGGTTTACAACCTCCATTACCTCTTTCTGTCTTTTCTCCATTTCCTCATAACCCATTTCAGTTTCCGCAAAGGGTCTCGCGAGTGAGTATTTCGATTCCATTTGAGATTCTTCGATTTGGAATCGAGGATATGGCATCAATAGTTCCAAGCGAGCGATCTTGGCACGGCAATAAGGGCATCCATTAGGAGGAGCTTCTTCTTCGCTTTTAGTCCATCGAATAATGCATGTTAAGCAGGTATTTTTATGGCCGCAGGGTATAGTAGCCACGGGCGTATAATTAGGTCCGTAACAAACAGCGCATTCATCAGGCTTCTGTGGCAATGGTTATTCCGGTTAGCATCTGCATTATGATTTGATTATGCATTTTAAAAAGAGATTGAAATTCGCAGATGATTACTTACCGATAGCCGTGGTATTTCATTAAGTGGTGGTAGAATTTTCAATGGTGCCTCCCCTTCATCTTCTGGGTGCAGTAGTCCCGAGTAGTATGGGGTTTGGTGGTCAAGTTGACATATTGGGCAACATGAGGTAGCATGGCTTTCCTGGGTTATCAGAGACAAATCCATCACAAAGATTTTCAGACATGCTTGACTCAAAGGATCAGACTTCTCACGCAGCCTTCCAACCATTTCGAAGAAATGTCTCCCGAATTGACCTTCAAATATGGGACTGCGTGCAAACAATTGCATTTGCTGTGACAAAGTATAAGCTTTATTTTCCGGTGCTGTAAATTGAATGTCACTACGCATCGGGTAAGAGTTCACTACTTACGCAAACCACGTGAATACAGAAGCAGAACATTTCGCGCACGGCTTTAACCAGCGCAGGATCTGGAGACCAAATTTGTACACCCAAGACCGAGGTGCATCGAGATAACAAGCGTTCCATATGTTCACGCTGGGACTTCAAAATACTGTACGACAACACATTGAGTTTCCTAAAATCTCTTAGCTGTCTAAACTCATGTGCAAATATATAGGGAGTCCCAGAGGGTCTAAAGAGCGACTTGGATATCTTCTTACAAAAACGTATTAGCAGAAAAAACTTATTAGTCAGAACATCATCGTATCATGAATTAGACTTACTAGATAAGGCCTCGCATCCGGTTCTTTAGATTGATAGAAGAATTGAAGCTCAGATGATAATCTGAGAAAAGGAGTAAGGATGATCGGTTTTGACCGTGGATTCGAGATGGAACAATTTGTCTCGAAGCCGGGAAGTTCGAACGGGGTATTGACAAATGCGGTAGCCATCATAAAGTAAATGAAGGGGGAGAATAATGGGAGAATTCAATGTTATACCTTGTTAAAGCCAAGTACGAAGAATGACTTTATCAACAGGGCAATAAAACAACATGGGGAAGAAACGAGTTCGGAAAAATCAATCTGGGTGATGATGAATGACGTTTAACGGTCTATAGTGAAGACTCCCACCAACCTCGACCCTAAATGAGTCTAAAAAAATCTGAAATCTGTCATCACCTGGGTAGGTAGGCTCATCAAGAAGTTTTCAAATCAAACTAAACACAAACCGACCAATTCTATTGGGTAGATTAGAGATGTCAGAAGCAGTAGGTAGGTATATGAATATGATTTTGTTGGAGCAAAGCAGAACGAGGTCTATATCAAAGGAGATTGCCAGACAAAAACGCACAACAATTACTTGAAAAGTCAAGTAGTATGATGCGAGTAATGGATAAGTACCTGGCTTCGTATCTTTCTTGATATTGAAGGATTAAAGTGACAAAGCATTGACCAGTCGAATTATGTGGGAAATTTCCTCAATACCTCAACTCGTGTGGAAGTATGGATGTGGATATCAGATAATCTTGCGGTAAGTAGGCATGCTTCTTTATGACTCTCATCTCTCTCAAAATTCTCACTCACTGTCTATGAAGCCTAGAACATCTGCAATGACAAATATTCAGGAACCAATAGCTAAAAAGGAATAGCTTCATAGAGTCACTACTAGTGAGGTGAAGCCTATACTCCGATAAATTCGCGAGAATACTCATGGGAGGTCTATACAGTTAATACCCGTGGACCTCAAAGTATTGTTCACAAGCTGTGAAAGGTGCTAAGGAACAGGAAGCCTCATAGAATTATAATAAAATAATCGAAGGCGAGAACTTCACCAGCTCTTCTACTTTGTCCGAGAAGATACCCACCAGAAAAACATAACGATGCCTAATCAAAGCCTACCGCCACGACTCGAAAAAGACAAACGTTCCAGCAATATCCCTTGTATATTCATGGCAGAGATTCGAAGTCTACAACAGATAATGGAGTATCGATAGCAGTCGGAGTTTGCAAATTCGAGGATAAGTAGGGAAAATCCACTGCGAGGTATTGGCAGTTGGCGTTGCAATTATTGCTGATAATGCATCATAAAGGCCAGTTTTGGAGGAGATGATCGATAAATCGCCTTGAAACGTTCGAATGTATATGCCGATACCTCACTTCGAACCCATCTCAAAATACCCTTCATATTTAAAAGTACCACTGAACAGGACGCCATCTGCGGCCGTCTTTCGCGCACAGCCAAATCCTAAGAAGAACACAGAGATGAGAAGCTGCTTAGATATTTTCTCCTGGCAGAAGGGCAGGCCATCGTGAAGGATAAATAGTTGGAGGTGCGCGAGTTCAAATATGTTTGGGGATACCCGGGCTCTTGAGCGATTTCAAACTCGACGGTTTCGACAATCTCGACGTGTAACGCTTCCTTGAGATCGGACAGAACTGAATGTTAATTAATTGATTAGCATTTTCAACTCTTGCCTACCTATGCAACCCTTGAACAGAGAGTATCCTCAACAACAAAAATGGCTCTGGCTGATCATAATATATCAGTTGATGATTTAAATTGAGAATAGGGCTTTCCGTCCGACTTCTCAATCCTCAACTTTATAGATTCACAAGGTAGAGACAATAGCTCAGACACAGATTAATCGCAACCATTTGTAGTGGGCGAACGTGTATATGTAAATGTTCCAGGTAATCGGTATATAAGTTGATCACGGTGACATGACTTGGTGGTTTCGTGTTCACATCTTGTTGTTGTCGTTGTCTATCTTTTCGCCTAAAGATTCTATAAATTCTCGAGTGGTGTATCGCGGCTATTGCTGCCTTCCTTCTCTTCTCCTCTTATATAAAATGGTGGTGACAAGTTATTGGGCCACCAGATCATCCGAGCCATCCACATCCACCCCATTACTTTTCATCCCTACCTTCCCTCAAGCATCCCTCCTCTCGACCAATTCTAGCCCACAGATTGTATGACCATTGATGACAACCATGACAGCCATGGCAGCCATGGCAGCCATGACCATTCTGACAACCTGACCCAGTCTCTGAACAAATAAGATCGTGGAGGAGCCTCATACTTCTTCAAATGTTGCATATGCAAGTATGGCATATCGTGTGACTCGACAATTTATATTTGCTCTGTTGTCAATTCTTTTTCTAGAACACGGATCCCATATATATTACCTACATACATGTCTAGTCCGCACCAAGTGCCATACAAATAGGAAGAAGATTCTCGGATGCGGTATCCTTCGGCTGAAATGTGTTGTTCTTCTACCACTCACTGCATACCACCTACCAAACGTATCCCGACAACCTTACATTGATCCATACTTATGATTAACCTTACCAAAAGCACATTTCATGATACGTACCTACACTTTGTACGAAAGGGATGAAGAAGAATTGTTGAGGAATATATCAAGATACTCTAGAAATCTAGAAATCTAGAAAATTAATTGTCACGCCATATGTTCGATTCCAATCCAGATCCAAAGTACCCAATACCAAGTGAATCATTATTTGACGGGAAAAGCCTTGTTGTAACAACTTTGGGTCTCCAATTCTTCAATTCAATCCATATCTACGCAAGTTACATCGATTTGATAGATATCCAGCCTCATTATATTTCCTTCTTTACACCACCGACCTCACTTCCTTCAATCTTACCTACCCCCCGAGGTCCTTCTTGATTGATATACATATCGTCTCTTGTCAATTTGTCATTGATTCTTCTATATTGAAACCCCCCTCCCCCCAAACCACGCCTCATATAAAACAGTGTTCGATTATCGATTATCGATTATCGATTATCAAATTTAAAATTGAATACTCAAAACATCTGATAGTCGACCTCACATGAACATTCGAAGCACCTGAGTGTCGAATGGAACTTGCTTTTTTCTTCAACTTAACTACTATTCCGAATCAGGGGCAAACTTTGACCTTTCAAGCCAAACATACCTCACTCACACTCACCTGACATCTAAATCATCGTCTCTCAACCTTCAGCAAGAGTGATCCGATTCGGACTATGGACATAAAAAGCAATACGGCAAACCACTGAATATAGAACCGTACTTTAAACCCTCTTACTTTGATATCGAGGATTAATTTAGCATATCCATCAAATCAAGTCTTGATGCAGTATTCTACTACCTTGTGTCAATATCCTTTCATCAATACGTTCACAAAACCTCCTTGAACCATGGATATCAATCAGCTTCCACCAGAAATAATCCAATGCATTGGCGACCACCTTCGAAGAGCTCCACTAAACGCCTTGATCCAGACCTCCAAACGCCATGCGAAAATTTTAACATACCTTCTCTATCAAAAAGCTTTCCGTCGTCACTTTCGTCCAGCTGTAGATAACGAACCAGAACCGAGAGCAAGGTCAATATGGGTCTACAGTCGAGGTCGCAGTTATGTTTCTCAACGACGTCTATGGGCCTGTGCCCCTCATTGGGAATCCGAATATGTGATGAATTATTTCAACAATCGATCGCTGGGATGGGCACAAACTCGTTTTGGGGGAAGAGAAAGAAATGGTGCTACTTGGTTACATCTCCTAGCCGCAGCTGGCCATGAAAGACTTTTGAAGATGTTCATTGCCAAAGGTCTCGATATCAATTCACGTGACTGGGCAGGGAATACAGTTTTACATTCTGCTGTCGCGGCTGAGCAACATGGATTGATTGATTTTTTACTTCAAGAGGGTGCGGATGTTTTGGCTATCAACTCATTTAATCAATCAGTGTTGGTTCATGCATTGATTAGATATAAGATAGGGGCTTTGATACCGATCATTGATGCTGTGAAAGCACAGGGTGGAGATCTTAACTACAACGCCGATGGAACAGGACACCCGCCAATATTTCTGGCTACAAGAACAAATGAAGCACTTCCAGTTGTTAGACACTTTTTGGAGAATGGAGTCAGCGTTTTTCAAATACTATCAACGGGGACGGGTAATCATGATACTCTCCTCCATTGGGCTGCCCGTTTCGGACATCATGAAATAGGAAACTTCCTCGTGTCTCAAATGACTAGTCGGCCAGGATTTATCTCATTACTCAACGATCGACACATGGCTCCCCTCCATTTCGCAATATGTCGTAAATCCTTGTCTCTCTCCAAAACTCTAATAGCAGCTGGAGCAAACCTCGATGACGGAGATCAAATCGGCAACACTCCTCTCGATCTAGCCATTGACCATTGTCTATCCGGTCTCTTCCAAGAAATCTATCTCAAATGCAATTACAAAGACGTCGCCTTCCAAAAATTCAAACAAGTCCTCTCCGAGAGTATCAAAGACGAAAACCCCCTCGCAATCCGACACCTCCTTGAACTCCAAGGCCCCTGCTCCATCCAATTCACCCTTCCCACCCTCCATCACCTCATCGAAAACCACCGCAACACCATCTCCGGCTGCCAAATCATCGAGCTAATCGGAGACGCGATGCCCCCCACCAATTTCCACACGCGCTCCCAACCCCTCGGCGAAACCCCCCTGCACCTCGCCCTCCGCAAATCCCTCCACGACATCCCCATCCACAGCGACCGCCTCATCACCTACCTCCT